TTCATAAATTCATCAATATCCACCATCATTTTCTTTTTCTTCGTCTGATTCTCTATATCTTCAGAACTGGAGCCATTTTGAGACGTAGATTTTTGACAGATTGTTGATTCATTAATATCAATATCCCTGAGATCTTTTATATCATCACTTTCTGCGTCTTCTGCTTCGATGTCTGATATAGCATCATCTAATTCAGCTACTGCTGAGTCCGTCTTTGCTTCAGATCTACACTCAGATCTTTCGTTGTATGGCAAATTGAATTCCTGATGTAACGAAGAATTGAAGTTTATGCACTGCACGTTATTATTTTGTGGAGAAACTGTGACAGCTTTTTTTAAACCTGTAAAAGAAATAACCTTGTTTTAGTAAAGGAAGTAATCTAAGAAAAGTCATAAACAAAATAGTTAAAGGGAAAAGCTATAGGGAATGGGCCGCATCTGTTATTTTACTCAAAAAAAAACAATATTTCTTGAATTTTTCATCTATTTTTAAATTGTTCTAGATACAATGGCTCATTCCTTACACTCTTCCCTTGGTAATAAATACAAAATTGACTCACCTCTATAAATGATGCACACTTTATTAAGAATTCACTGAACAGCACTATAGCTTTTCCCTTCACTATATTATTAAAACACTGTATCATTAAACAGAAAGATAAAAAAGTGTGTGGTATTTTCCTAGGCAGCGATCAAGAAACATTGAATTAGTTGGCTAGAAGAAATTTGAAGATGCTCAACTTTATGGGCCATTTCGTGGCACAAAACCTGATCGCAATGTAGCTGGCATTACCGTCAGCCTGTCCAAGAATTCCGAGATTTAGTTTAGCTGTACGCCGCTGCGAGCTGATAATCGTTTACAGCGCATCGGATAAAGAATACTGTACCGTAACAGACCGTAGTTCTGCTTTCAGCCGACAGAGTGAGTGGTTGCCGGAGACAGTGCTAGTTTTTGGGTACAGTACCGTAATAATACGGATTTTCTATTAGTAAACAATTTAATATAATATTATATGATTAAACAAAGAACGGCACCAGAGCTGGCTTGGAAATGAAGGCACTGTTATTTCATAAGTAAAATATTATGGTCAATGTCAACAATCGTCAATTCCAAGTCAACTAAACGACTTTTTTCGATCATATGACATATTCAGTACCTATAGAAGAAATTATATATTTTTGTTGTTTATTCTATGTTTAACACGAATAAATTTTTAAAAGTTAAACGCGGATTTTTCATCCAAACATATTTTTGTCAAACGTATTACATATATTACACATTTTAATATGGCAACACTGTCGCTTTCAGATCCACACCGTCCTCGATATGCCTTCGCCGGCCGAATTAGAGAAAATAATTGTTTTAAGCGTTGACCGCAAAACGATTGGTGTCTCCACCGTACAGCACTTGAGACATAAGGGGAAGTTGAATCAGCCTTGTCACGAATTCGCCCATTAGGTTGCATCCCAAGGTTGGTATCTTCCCAATTCTTTCAATCAAAGGTATCAGAAACTATCTTTATTAACAGTATTTTGAAATGGTCCAACTATATACGTTTCTGATATTTACTAAATAATTAAACGGTGCTCAGTATCGTGATTCTACAAATTCTAACCTTGTTTTGAATGCCAGGATGAAAATGTGGGGCACTATAGTATTAAAAAATAGCAATTTTTTACTTTTAAAATGATGTCTATTTGTCTTATCTAAAAACAACTTCAAAAATTAATCAATACCAATCACTAATTTTAAAATCTTCTAACACAGTATCGCCAACTAATTCAATCATTTTTGGTCGCTCCTTATAAGTTGAGGAAATACGTAATTGAAAAAATCTGATAACTTCAGTTCTGATACAAATCAGTTCTGAATTTACAGTTCTAAAACGAGGATATTTAAAATAATCTATATAATCTTTAATAGAGGCTTTATTATTAGCTATATAGCGTTTTCTGTAGCTGCTTGTTTTCGAAATAATGCGTACTGTTTCAATACAAATGACTGTAGTTAAACTCTTTTAAACTGAATATTAAAAACGTCTACGAGTTGTAGAACAATACGTCCTATTATCCACGCCTAAACCCATGTGACATTAAATAGTACAGTACATAATTACGTCTGTCTTTTGGGGTGTAATCAAAATTTTAATACGTACACTATACCTTATTATTTATTAATAAAACGAAGTTAAGTCATTAACTAAAAAAACAGTAATTCTTTCAGCTGACAAACTTAAAAAGACAACGCTCTAACTTAATTACTTATAAATAAATTTAGCAAGAAAGCTCAATTTTTATCGACTTATTTTTTAAACGTCAAATTTGACAGGCAACCGAAAGAAACAAGTTAATTTTTTTATGTCGTTTTTAATCCAATTCAAAGTAATAGTACGAGAGCTAGCAACGTCGGAAAAACAAGTATTTTAAGACGTCTGGCTCTTTGATATATCTTTTACTATGCTCTCTAGAACAACATGCGGCCCGTCTGGCTGCTGGTAAACGTTGCGTTCCCTACTGCGCATTGAAAGAAGATCCTATATTTTTATTAGTCCTTTAAATTCTAGTATTGAATATAAATCGAACATGTTTCCATAGCGCAGTGCGTAGAGTTTCCGACCACGAACCGATAATTCAGAGTTCGAATCCGGGTCAGGACAAAGACTTGTTTTATTTTATTTTCGTTTATATTCTGATAATAAAGTATTAAATATTTGTTTTTTTTTGAATCGCCAGATTTATTTAATACTTTACTATCAGAATATAAACGAAAATAAAATAAAAAAGTCTTTGCCCTGACCCGGATTCGAACTCTGAGTCTTCGGTTCGTGGTCGGAAACTCTACGCACTGCGCTATGGAGACATTGTTCGATTTATATTCAATACTAGAATTTATAGGACCAAATTAATAAAAATATAGGATCTTCTTCCGATGCGCAGTAGTGAACACAACGGGTATCGGCAGCCAGACGAGCGGCATGCTATTCCAGAGAGCATAGTAAAAGACATATCAAAGAGCCAGACGTCTTAAAATACTTTCTCGAAAACGTTGTCAGCTCTTAGACTATAATAACTACAGGGTGAGTCTTAAATAAGAGCAAATATTTTTAGGGGTAGTATATGTCGACCTCGGAAAAAAGTCTATGATTTTTTCGCGAAAAAAAAATTCTTTAAATTTTTTTTTTATTTTTTTTAATTCTTAGTTAAAAAAAGGATATCTTCATAATATGGCAATAGGTAGTAGATTAAATTTAAAACATAGGTAGTAGATTAAATTTACAAAAAAAAACCAGGAAAGATCCAGTGTGTCTCAAAATTTAAGCAAAAAATACTTTTATTTTAATTTTCGAAGTAAAATATATCTGTTATTTTCCTTTTATCGAGATCTACCAGCCCTGAAAATATTTGCACTTATTTAAGATTCACCCTATATATCCAAAGTCAAATTTTACCTAAACCGAAAAATCAAACGGAAAATAGAGTCAATGAACAGAATTTACTAGAGATGAGTAGATCAGGATGGATACGAATCCACAAACCCCTCTACGGTACGGTTACTGATGAGGTGTCCCCATAGAGAAAGTAATAATTTCTCTATGGGTGTCCCTATGCGCGGAACTACATTGCTGACAGCCACCGGCCACGTCGTCTGCAGATAACATAATGATGCAGCGAAATAAATCAGTATTAGAGAGTATTGGAATAAAAAGGTTTTGGTAACTGCTGCAACTGAGTTGTATTTACTGATTCTTAAATGGGAAATATGTATTAGTATATTGGTAATTGGAAGATTCAAGAAGTTACGGAATATGTTATGCTTGTACAGGGGTTTTTCAAAGACGTCAGCGGACGAGGGCTAGGTTTTTTCTAAAAGTTTTTTCTCTCTTTTTTCTTACAAATTTTTTTGTAAAAAAGATGCAATTTTATTTTTAAGAATCCTATCTGTTAAATGTTAATCTGTTAAATCCCTAAGCGGGAATTGAGATGGAAGGCTGTGATTGGTGTCTCGACTATCTTTTATTAGTCTATAAAGCTGGTAATGATTTGCCTCATAATCATAACTTTGAACCTTAACGAACCACAAAACTTTTGAAGATTGCTTTATGTAAAACAAAATTTAGTTAAATTAAAATGAAAGATTAGAATGATATACCGTATTTTTCTGAAAAGGGGCTCACCCCTACAACTTTTTTTTATTTTATTTTTTCAGATAAAAAAAGGAGATTTGGTATGTTAGCATACGACATAAATTAGGATTGATTTCCTGTTGCACAAGAAATGGCTACAACTTTTGATTTTTGACACCCTCGGTATTTTTTTATTTTATTCGATAGAAAATAACTCTCTGAATATAATGACATATATGTCAACTTTTGACATTTACGCTTAAAAAAATCGTATTTTAAATTTCAAACTAAATGGTTAAAAATGACCAAATCGTATTTTTAATAATATCTCAATTTTTTTGAAATGGAACGAGGGTGGCATTCGCATATTTGGAAAAAGCATTTTTTTAAGAATAATTTGTAAAAAATGTCTATACCTGTTTTTTTGGAAGAATAATTTGGTACCACATACTTGGTATTTCGGGTCAAATTGTCGTTATGAACCCCATGTTACAATTTCAAATAAACCATACGCATATGATATGTCATTCTATTGAAAATATCATTTTGCATCAAAAAAACGTAAAAAATATCGAGGGTATCATTTAAAAATCAAAAGTTGTAGTCGTTTCCGGCAAACCAGGAAGTGACCGAAAACAATTGAATACGTCAATCAGTCCTGATTTTTGTTATATACTAACATACCAAATCTTGCTTTTTTATATAAATAATTAAGGTAATGAGTGAGCCACTTTTGGAAAACACCCGGTAGATCCGGCAGAATTGGAACCTGGATGTAGGTCCATGAAGTTAGATGTAGCTCCGGACCCGACTCTTTTAAAATACCGGATCTACCCATCTCCGGAATTTGTAAAAACAGAAAAAGAATTCTTCTTACCAGGTTGACCGTCCTCTGAGTTCTTCCCTCCTCCCCCACCAAAGTTCTCCTGCGACGTCCCCGCCACCGGTTCCTCCCGCTCCTCCTTGATCACTGTCCTCGTTCCGTTTTCTCCCACCTCCTCCTCCTTGCTGCCGCCGCTGTCCGACTGGTTGCCTGCAAAACCATCAGCTCCCATTTTAACCTCCAACATTTCCGGACTGCCCTGGACTACAGAGTCCTTGGCCTCCGAATCGTCGCCGTTCGAATTGCCCGATAACCTTCTAGGCCTACCTCGTTTCCTCTTCGGTTGCATCAAGTAGTTCCCCAGCATGTTGAAACCGGCTATCGGAGCCCCCACGCGCTTCGAGTTCTGTTGCTGCTGGATCCGTTGCAGGTTCGGTATGTTCGAGTTGTTCTGTTGGCTCAGCGAGGAGGCGATGTTGTCGCACTTTTCTTCGTTCACCTCCGTCAATCCTTTAATCCTCAGACTCTCCGCGACCCTCAGAAAATGCGTCAATCTATCCTGATCGACACTCACCTCACCTCTGTACATAAAATCCAACAAACTCTTCATATCGCTGTACGGGACATCTTTCAGGATGACAATGGGATGTTTATCTGGATGGTTGACGAAGAGGGCTTGGAAATAGGGACTGCAGGCTGAAAGAACCATTTTGTGGGCTCTGAGTAGCTGGCCTTCCACTGCTAGTGTGACGTCGACGAAGCTTTCGTCGTGGAGTAGCTGGTCGAAGACGGTGAGTAGGTTGGATTGGTGGTTGTTCCAGCGGAGGCAGAACCGTTGCGTCGACATGTTGTGGGGAGCGGGTGCCGCCGCCACTGGCTGGTTGAATTGGGGCGCGTAGCGGAAGGGTACGCCGGACATGGGCGGATCAGGCGGAATTTTGGAATCGGTTGTAGGGTACACTGAAAAAGAAAAAATTATAAAAATTAGAAAAAAATTAAACTGAAGCACTTACTGAACACTGAGAATTATTATTATTATAAGTCTAAAGCTTCATTCAAAACCTCGCAATTAGTGGAAGAAATTCGTGTTTTCAATTACACTTTATACTTTTTAGTTTACGATCATTCACAATGTTTAAAAAGCACAATTAAAATTAATTGAATATCTTAGCAAGAGATTGCGTTAGTTAGTTGTATCCATAGAGAAAGCTTAATATTTAGCTTATAAAACAATCCACTTTGGATTTCTAACCACAATTGGTGGTTGTAACAACCAGACAGCTCCATTTTTTTTTCGAAAATGAGATTTTTAATGAATTACCCTTTTCAGAAATTGGCCGATCGTTTCCTGCAACAATCAGTTCTCTCAATATAACAGTACATAAATGGCGACGTTAATTGGAGCTGCCTTGCTCTGGGTTTGCAGTAAGAACCGAGCAGCTCTTTTTCGATTTCTCACAAATTTATTAAAATGGAGCTGCCTGGTTATTGCAGCCACCCCTTCAATTTCTCTTGATGGTAGATAATCAAAGGCCAAAAATGACATTTCTCGCAAATTTTAAAATACAATTAGTGGAAAAGTTAAAAGTTTGATAACTTTCTCTTCTAATTGAAAATGTCTACCACTAATTTTAACCTTCTGAATGCTTAAATTGAAATTAAAGGAACAAACTTCTAGGCTAATTAACACTAACTTATTCCACGAATTGTCAGGTTTTGAATGAAGCTTAAAGCACTTATTGTTTACTAGGATACCGGGTGCGTCTGAAAAGTGGCTCACCCCTATAACTTTTTTATTTTTTCAAATAAAAAAAACGAGATTTGGTATGTTTAGTATATGACATAAATTAGGATTGATTGACGTATTCAATTGTTTTCGGACACTTCCTGTTTCACCGGAAATGACTACAACTTTTGATTTTTAAATTACACCATCGGTAATTTTTTATTTTACTCGATAGAAAATGATTCTGAATAGAATGATATATCGTATGTGAATATTTGATACTTTCGCATATGGTTTTAAAAACTGTAAAATGCAGTTCGTAACGACAATTTCACTCGAAATACCTAGTGCGCATACCAAATTATTGGTATTTTTTCCAAATATGCTAATAAGCCACCCTTGTTCCATTTGAAAAAATAGAGATATGATTAAAAATACGATTTCGGCATCTTTTAACCGACCAGATCAAGACACGAGAAACATTAGACGATCAAATCTATTTTTCCAAGGTTCCTTGATTAAAAATTAGTGTTTTTAACACAGCGATGGCACTATCTACATTGAAATTGAACATACAATTTTTTTAAGCGAAAATGTCAAAAGTTGACATATGATATGTCATTCAATTCAGAATGTTCATTTTCTATCGAATAAAGTAAAAATATACTGAATGTGCCATTTAAAAATCAAAAATTGTAGACATTTCCAGTGAAACAGGAAGTGACCAAAAACAATTGAATACGTCAAGCAACCCTAATATATGTCATATACTAACATACAAAATCTCGTTTTTATTTATCTGAAAAAATAAAAAAGTTATAGGGGGTGAGCCACTTTTGAGACGCACCCGGATCAAAAAATATTTTTCACCTCTCTAGATTTTCTTATTTCACTGGCTAGAAGTATTTCTTTTATTATTATGGCGAATGCGCCAGGAGAATATTACTCTTGAATTTAAATTTAGTTGTTTGAACTTTGAAACCCCGATTTGCTACATCGATTTAAAATATCAATGAAAAAATTAATTTCCTTTATATCTTTTTTAATTTCCTACATATCATTTAATTATAAATAATAATTAACATTTTATAAAACGATAAAAAGTTAAAACTACAACAATTGATATCAAAATTAATTCTGAAATTAAATAAAAGTGTTTTAATTTACCGGCCATACTAATTAGCAACCCAGCTTAATTTAAAATCAAAAAACAAGTTTAATAAGTTTAAATTTGTCCCCTTGGTTTTGAAATAGGTATAACAATGTTAATGGTACGTCGTTAAAACTGATGAAACTGGTTGCTAAACACAAATACCAGAGCTTGATAAGGTTCGTTTAAAGACATTGGCGCATCCGAGGGATGGTTTTGAAGGTGTTACTTTCCCAAAATTCATTCTACAATTATACAAATCTGTATAGAAATCCCACATTTTATTTTATTTATTATTTTTTCTGGGAGGGATGAAGAGTCCATTTCACTAGTCCAAAAAAATAGCAAAATAAGCGTTCGGCATTTAACGTTTTATGTAAAACTGGCTAGATATTTTTACACAAATGACGAAGGAAATTAAAGATAAATAGTTCGGTCATTGGGGATTTTTGCTCGGAAAAAAGTCCGGAAGTTTTGCAACTTTGCAGGTCTATAGGTTTTGGGGTCCCTAACTAAAATCCATAAAATGCACATTTTCAGACTTGCCGCCGGCACCGCCATCTTGCCAAGATGACGCCCAAAATCGGAATTTTGTGAATATCTCGAAAACTATGCGTTTTTCGCGAAAATTTGAGGACAGCAAAATTAAAGAGAATAAAATTTCCTATAAAAAAGGTTTTACGAAAATTTTCGCTAAAGTCAACCGTTTAGGCACAAAATCCCTGGAAACTTTACAATTTTGCGTAAAATATGATATATTATGTATGGTCGATTTTCCGAAATCAAATGTCGATTAGGATTCACTAAAACTAGTTTTAGTTTAGTTTCTTGAATTTTGTCATAAAACAGTGGCCTATCATTAATTCGCTCATTAATTTATCAATAATTAATTTTAATTATTGAAAATGTGTACTTGTTTCCACACCACCCAAGAGGTAAAGCGTACATGGAGCGTTTATTTTAACGTGGTTTCCCACTAGATAAATTAAAAACTTTAACTGAAATGCACAAGCCCGACGAATCTGGCTCATTGATGTCAAAGTCGATCGTGTCTGCTGTGCTGGACTCATCGGGGTGGTCTCTCAATACGTCCAACTCTTCATCTTCAGCCGCCAGAGGGATATCTACAGGCAAGTCCAACTCCTCTTCATCGGATTTGTCGAGTGACACTTCAATGACAGGATTTCCCATTGCAGTATGCACAAATCATTGAACATTTTAATCCTGCTTTTCTGTATCCGCAGGCTTTACCATATTTGTTGGTTTTGCATTTATAGGATAAAAATGCCAATAGGGATTTTGGAGCTGGATCTTTCAACGTTGTGACTGGAGTAATGCCTGTTTTTGTTTTCTTCCCACCCCATTCCATTCTTCAGCATCTGTGGTACAACCAGACCAATGCTGAACCTGGTGGTAAGTTCGCAATGAATGCTGTCCAGCACGGCAATTAATTATTCATAAATTATTGAGCGAATTAATGATACGCCACTGTTTCATGACAAAATTGAAGAAACTAAACTAAAACTAGTTTTAGTGAACACTAATCGACATTTGCTTTCAGAAAATCGACTATATGTATTTCCAGGGATTTTCGGTCTAAACGGTTGACTTTAGCGAAAATTTTCATATAACCTTTTTTATATAAAATTTTATCCTCTTTAATTTTGCTCTCTTCAAATTTTTGCGAAAAACGCATAGTTTTCGAGATATTTACAAAATACCGATTTTGGGCGCCGTCTTGGCAAGATGGCAGCGCCGGCGGCAAGTCTGGAAATGTGCATTTAATGGATTTTAGTTAGGAACCCCAAAACCTATAAACCTGCAAAGTTTCAAAATTTCCGGACTTTTTTCCAAGCAGGCCCCTTTTTTGATCCCCAATGACTGAACTAAAAAGATTATACTATATCCGTATTTCTTTCCAAAAAAATCCTGTATGGGTATTTCGCCACTGCTGCAAGAAAATCTACAAAATAAAATAATTATTTTTTCTGTTCAACAGAACGTCAACGGTTTTCTTGTAGACGTATCTGTTTTAAAAAAAGTAAAGTGTTCTCGAATAGTTGAATTTAAATATTTTAAATAGTTTTTTTCTTTATTCTTTGTATTTTTTTGCTTCCGACGACGGAAAGAGATAACTTTCCGAAACGTTAAGCATTTTTTTTTGCTTTGTTAGGCAAATTTGTATTACCGTAAACATAACTTCTGACAAGCAACGTCCGTTTAGGTTTAACGCAGAAGTGTTTACAAAAAATAATTATTTTAATTTGTAGATTTTCTTGCAGCAGTGGCGTAATACCCATACAGGATTTTTTTGGAAAGATGAATCCGCCACATAGGTATAGACATTTTTTATATCCGTATTGTAGCACATTTTTAGACAACTTCTGCATTTTTAAGATTTTTTTTGATTGTCAAACATCAACAAATGTTCCTTATGTTTGAACTAAATTTTCTAGAAAATAAAGATATAATTTAAAATTCCGTTACAATAGGGAAATAAATTGAAGTTTTGTGATTATAGTGATAAATAATTTATATGGTTTTGTAACAAATTGCTCGCTATTTTATGGCAAATGCTGAAGCTCTGCAAACCTTAATCAAAGCACGTGTGTTTGGAATTTTAGGTGTGGCTCAACACGACAGGATTGGGCTAAATCTTAGGCAGATTTCTGAACTATTATATATTTTCTTCGGCAACACACCCGCTTTACCCGACCTCTGCAAACGACCCGAAAGTACAGCGTAATAGGCTCTTAATTACCTCAATTGTTCCTCCCATATATGCGCCCGTGGTAGAAAGTAGAAGTAGTGCTAATGGTAGAAACAGAAACCACGTATTAACGTGGTTTCTATTTACGGGGTGTTTTCAAGTAAGGTATTCCCCGCATAAATCCTCTTTTAAAGAAAATAAATTAATAAATAAAATCAATTAAAAAAAAATCCTCTTGTAAAGACAATCCAGGGACATACTGTATATTCATAATTTACTAATTAATAGGTAATATTAACACTGACACTAGGCTTCTAAAACCAATCCTGCCTACGCCACTGTTTGGTATAAGTATTTCGTAGCATTTATTCGGT